AAAATGTAGCCCCGCAATATTACTCAGTTTTTTACTATCTTTCTAATAAAACCAATCCCAAGTCAACCCGTTCGGTGGCTCTCGAGAAAAAATACTAAAAATTTGCCATTAGAATTGCATAGGGCTCGGGAGGTGCGATATCCTCTAACGCAGCTGTCTTTAGGAGCCGATGAGTCTGATCAAAGAGCGTCAAAAACAAACTTCATGGCGTTCGTCCTGTCTTTGTACGCGCTATATCATCACCAGACGCCTCATGAAGAGGAAAAGCTATTTTTTGGTACACGAGGGAGTTTTTCCCCTACGGAAAAGACTCGCACGTCTAGCATGAAGGTTCGTAATGGGATGTGAATGGGCCTTGGGCTGCACTTAGACCTCTGATAAAACGAAGTATAGCTCAATCCCAAGCACAATTGCATACATAAAAATTTAAACTACAGTCTACGTTATCGATCTACAAAATATGACTGAGAGTTTTGTGTTTCTGTCTGTGATGAAGACCTTGGCCCCAATAATGACTGAAAGTGAGGTCGACTACGACACCAGAGAGAAGTAGTTTGTTATTTCCTGTTATTTTGTAGGAAAAATAAATCAAAGCGAAACCACACAGGTGGTTTTGTTTTTCTAGATTTATATACACTGTGGTCGGGTACGGTCGACCGGCTGGTGCCCGCGACTGTCTCACGTAGAGCAATTATTTTTCACCTCGGCTTGTTTTTAGAAGCTTTTATAAAATACAACTAATGCCGACCTTTGGAGGGGCTTAGAAAAAACAATTTGAACTCAAGGCCAACAAACTGTAAAACGTAAAAAGATAAAATACAAAACAACAAAGTGCAGCACATGCCTTGCCGTCTTCCTATATAGAACGCAGTAGCTCTACATTCAGCCCCATTGAATGGCAGATCATTAAGCGGACGGACAGCGGGATATCCACTGTTACTGCAAACAAAATGGAATCGGTAGGTTCTTGCTTTCTTAAGTCCGAGATTTGCTCTTAAATAAGTGGCCTTCTGAGCATATAATATACATCAGAAAGAAAATATTATGTTCTAGAGATCGATACTCTAAGAATTCAGGAGCCTTTATTTTCCCCAAAAAATTAGACAATGTCAATCTCTGGAATCTAGAAAAAAAAATCGCAAAAATAGCAAACTGGATAATCTGTTCGGTGATAAAAAAAAATTCAGCTTTGGAATTGAGCATAATGTTTCACGACGCTCGTTGCCACAGTGGGGGACATTCAGTTCTTAGTTCTAATCCCGCATTCAACCCCCGCCATTTGTCTAGCTTCCTCCGTCGATTGCAGCGATCACCTTTCCCAGCTGTTTTGTGAAAAAGCAGTCACTCCAGATTTTTTAGAGTGCAGATAGCATAGTCTTTTGAGCATGATTACGATCGCCCTTCTCCCAGATTCATTGGCTGAACTGAGACCAGTGAGTGGTGCTGTGAGTACACTATGGCATACATTAATGCGCTTGTGACGGTGAAGTGGGTAAGAGACAACAGAGCGCTTTAGGAAACACTCTGTGCACATCCGACGCTGTACGATGGGCCCTCCGGTACGAACTGCGCAAGCGCCACCACAGAAGACTCGGATATCCGCAGTTCGTACCGGAGGGCCCATCGTCCCGTATCAGGTCTGCAAAAATGGTTCCATAAAAATCTTCAATCAGCGTCCATTTGGTTTTCTTAGTTTAGCAACGGTGCCTGGAGCGCTGCCGGATGTTGCGATCCTGGTGGTTGGTCCCAGAAGTTCCGGAAAAATGCAAGAGCAGACGCGAGTGTCGCTGTCGTCACGGCGTCTCAACTCATGGCTGACAAGTCTTCCGCGGTCTGTCAAGCTGGAGAGCAATCTGCATCAGAACAGGCGTCCGCCAAATCGACCATCGCTGCTGTAACACCGCCAGGGTCTCGACCGGCGATAGCGTGAAACTTCTATGACGTCTCCAGGCGGAAATCGAGGGAGCACTGTTTTAGACGCGGTGAACGGACCATTCAGAGGCGCGTTAAATCGGCGTAATCACCGGTGATTTCTTCTTTTAAAATCTCCACTGATCCTCGGGTCGTCACCGCGTCCGAGTAGACCATTCAGTAGCCACCAGTCAGGACTCCATCTCCTATGGCAAAGCCGTAGCGCTCAGTTTTCGGTACCACCTGCAAGAGACCCAAGTGCGGCGCAGATTGGACGTCAGCCTTCGACCGGGACTCGCACGAAATCAGTGAGAACACGACTTCCTGGAAAACGCGGACTCAGCAGTGGGGTCGAACCTACGTTCCGCTTGGACCTCTTGCGGGTGACGCCGAATAATCAGCACTGTCATCGATTCCTACCACAGCCGACGCTAGAATCTGATGGAGCCAATCAGGCAGCGTCAAAAGAGCATCGTCACGGCGTTCGTCGCTTTTGTGCGTTTCGTATCGCCGGCTGAAAACGGTGAATGCTTCCGTGATCCTGCGCATTTCTTTCTGCGCGCGATTGGTATGGCCAGGGAGAGCAGACGCACAAAAGCGACGAGCACCGTGACAATGCACTTTTGACGCTACTTGATCGGCACCATCGGATCGTATATCGCTGGCTGCGGTAAGGCCCAATGTGCAGCGGAGTGTGGGGCCCTCGCTGGTGATTGCGAAGACGCGCCTGTGCACGGTAGAGACCTCAACCGATACCTTACTGCGTCTTTCTCCTCGCAACCGGGAGGTAAGGTTAATAACCAGATATATGCTAGTGACAGCTAAGGGCAATGGATAAGTCTAAAACGAGAACACACTTAGCTTTTTGAGAAACTAAGATTAGTGTTTTTGTGTGCATACTGTAAAATATTTATTTCACTTGCATTGTAAGCTATGTGGGTTAGACTCTTCCTTTGGGGAGGCTGCAATGCCTCCCTATTTGCTAAGACATCATTCAATATAACAACATTACTTGAACTCGGAACACACCATTTTAATATCACTGTAGCCCATTTGGAGCTTCGAAGCAAAAACGAAAAAAGAAGGAAGTTTTTTGTTTGTTTTTTATCAAGTCGGTGTAAGTGTACTTACCAGAACCAATTACCAGAATATCCAGGACTGCATGAACGCTTCTAGAAAGATATCCAAACTCAGGAGGGGACTCACCATCAGATGCTTCCCACTTTCGATGTGCCCTTGAGGGGTGTCGAAATTACCCTCGGCACATTACGTCAATATTTTCATTCACTTTCGCTGTTGTATGCTGAAAATAAATTCTATAAAAAGGGCACGGAACTTTCGTCTCGCCTTCATTTTGGATAGTGAGGACGTTAGTGTCATTGTTGCCCGAAGACAGCCAACGATGCCGCCGAAATCATACGATACTCCAATAAAAAAAACTCCGACTCCAGTGCTAGCCTAGTCCACCAACTGCGTTGGAGCGGCTAGAATATATAACGATGAACTGGCTGAATCACGGAGCCTGCGAAGGCGCGGGAACCTGAGAAACAGGCGCCAAGAAGATCGACCAGCCGGTGCCAGTTGCCCGGAGCCGAGCCCGCGCCGGTACATCACATCGGTATAAACTGACAAACGCCAAAACCTACGGCTCCAGTGAACCCATAGAATCGCTAAAATATGGCACATTACAGCACCACACAAGTGTCCACTCCGGCGGTGGGGTGTCACGTGCCTTGCTCCCACGCCTGAATTAGCGCAGTGGTGCCGCAGAGACCAGCGTTTGCCGAGTTCTGCTAAAACCGGCTTCTTCACTTGTGACCTTGAGAGCCGGCGCTCCAGTGGCGACGGAAGGTGCCGTCCGCAAGAAACCTTCGTAGACAGGAGCTCGTCGGGATGGCGAACAAGGATTCGGAATTTCTGTTTTACTGGGCCGTCGCTGGGACAAACCGCTCGCTGTTGCTCGGTTGCAAAATTTGTAGAAAGCTTCTCTCATCGATCGGAAATTGCCTGCTCTCGGCACGACGGATCGCATGGCACTGACAGCTAGTCTTCAACTTTTTGCCTTATCGCACGGCGGGAAAATTCGCTTGCGTGCCGTTTATACTTAATTGTAATTTACTTGAGATTGATTTTCAATTATCTTGTATTTGATAGGGACAAAAGCAACATAAGGAAAATATAAAACCAAAAACTGTACGCGTTAAATTGATAACTTGCGTTTTAGCTGTCAGCACGTATTCGAACCGTGCAATGCTGGAAGTCCATTTTGCTTTCAGATTGAGACCCAAAAAGCAGACTGGCTAGAAACAATTACGTTGTCATACTACAAAAAAAAAAAAGAACGAAAAAAAAATCTTCTGAAACGGAAATCGGCAAGTACATTTTGTTGCCGCGAAAGTTATATTGTTTTCAAGTTAGAGGGGACGCAGTAATTGTCACACAAGGAGCCAACATCTTCACGCTTGTCAATTCACTATTTTAGCTACGAAGGCCACCGGCACAGACACGGAAAACGTGACTGACTAAGTCTACCCAAACACATGAACATTCGTTACCAATATTTGTCGACGGATCAAAATGCCTAGGGTGACTTTCGTGTACAATTCTCTCATAGCAATTGCAGTTTGTAGGAAGCATCCTTTGCTAGTGTACAGTCAGTGTTGTAACAACACGATAGAAGTAACGGCATAGCTGATAACGCGTTACTTCTTGTCTTCTTTACGTATAGCAAATAAATAATAACGGCTATTCATAGACTTGTAATATATAGTACGCTCTAAGCGCTGAAGATAAGCCTAAACTTCAGAAAAAGAAGTCAGCCCTGTTGCACTGTGAACGGTCTTTTATCATTCTCAATGTCAGAGGGCACGCTCTTTCAAAATCTGTTTTTACTTTCGACATTCGCTGAGCTCTCGCAGTAGAATGCATCCACTGGTGCTCCCAATGGCTTTGTGGGAAAGTTCATGATTCTATATTTGTCCAGATTTCTTGGAATTCTCCCCGATTTTTCTAGATTTCTCAAGACTTCTTACAGCGTTCGAAGAACCCAGAAATAACCGATATTGAATATCACTTTCTTTCACTTGCAGCATTTTTCTGCCATCGCCTTCCTGGAACCTCGGTGTTTGTTGGAGTATCCCGTCGCAGTGGCCGCCATCTTAGCGACCGTTGCTGCTGTTGCCGTGTGGCTTCAGACAAGACCCCAGAGAAAGGGCATCCTCCCTCCGGGCCCCGGAGGCACTCCGCTTCTGGGTTTCCTGCCCTTCCTTGGCAAAAACCTTCATGTAATGTTCAGAGACCTCGCTGAAATCTACGGTCCTGTCGTGAGGCAAGTGTCCAATCCTTTTACACACACGTGTGATCACCTAGTGCTCTAAAACAAATGACTGCGCGCCTATCTTTGTGCACAGACCTTTTCAAAGCCTAGTGACTATGTTCTGTGCCGCATGAATCTAAGAACACACCATAAGGGCGTTACGCTCATAAAAAGGAGATTGGAGGATTGCCGTAAGAGATGTGTGCAAGTGTGAAAGTGCGCCCAATAATGAAAGTATTATGTGTTCGTTGTTTCCGTTGAATCCGAAAAAATAAAAAAATGAAAATCCGGAAAACTTCAAATTTTGAAGTTAACACTATCAAATAAGAAGTAAGAAAAAAGAGACCGCATCTACACGTGGTGAATGATGCTGATTGGGGCGAAGCTCTGGTGGTGCTGATACGCTGAGCCGCAGCATGCCGAGCTTTTGGTTCGTTTTCATTCATGTCAGAAAGAGAATTTGTGGTATGGAACGTGGTTATATACGCATTTGAGCATTTGACCGCAGCGCCCTCTCGTCTATAAACGCTGAGCCAATGCATGCAAAGTTTAACGCGAATGTATATGCATTTCACCGCAGCGCCCTCTCCTGTATATACGTTGAACGGCTACATGTAGCGTTTCATCCATGGCATCCCCAGCTCTTGAGTTACTACCACATCTCAGAGCCCCCTACTCGTCCCGCAGTCGTGGCCGAGTGGTTAAGGTGATGGTCTAGAACTCCATTGGGGTCACCCCGCACAGGTTCGAATCATGTCGACTGCGCAAACATTTTTTCTTTTGTTAAGAAGACAGATGGGATGGCAATCTATGTGAGCACGGACGCCGGACAAGGCTAGACACTATAGGAGCTTCGCCTCTAAAAAGACCGCGTTTTACAAATCAATTTTATCAGAACACAGCATCAGTGGTCCGAAGGAGGCTTAAACTTTAGTTACCTTTGAAGTCTCGAAGTTCTGAAAGAAATGTCTCTCTTTTAGCTTTTCAGGGTTCCTTCAGGACAACAGGTCGTAGTACCCGGACTTCATTTATTTAGTTTTTGCGCTTTCTTTTTAATTAAGAACAAAGTAAAATCAAATCAAAATTTTAGAGAATTGAGAATTTAACAAAAATAAACTCTGATAAGCCCCGAATTTATGCGAAACTAAACTCCGGAAAACACCCATCGAATTTCACGAGAAATAAACTCCGAAAACACGGAATCCTAGATATACATCGAGCTTCTTGTTTTCGTTAAATGCTGATAAACCCATAAATATCGCACCAAGCCGGTTTTGCCGAAATCGGGGAAAACCGAAAGACTTAGAATTAAGGTTGCTCTTGAACAAGAAAAGCCCAATCTGCACGAGAAGAGTCTTGGTTTACAGCTTCACTTTTTGTTGACTTATAACACAACTCGCACTGAACTGTCCGCGAGGCAGTTTATTTTCCTTCGGAAACGACGCCCCTTATCCCGTTCCTTTGTATTATCAATACACAGATGTTTTCATAACATTTGAGCCTTGACCACGTTCCTTGCAGGTGGGGGAACCCATGCTCGTATCCTGTTTTCTTGTACATGGGCCCCGATAAACACCGATTTTCTTTTTGTCCACACCGAAAACTGATACCGAAAAACATTGAATCTATGGGGAGAAGATAAACCTCGAAAAAGTACACCCCAACTGTAAGCAAAATAATCCCCGAAAGCACAGAACCCTAAAACTTATAGACCCTTTTATTTGCAAACGCCACCAGGCGGTTTTCCAGTGTATGACATCCCATCGCCAAAAGAACAAAGAATCGCGAGATGTGTTCAAAGTTTTCTAATATTCTTGCAAACCAACTTGTCCCCTCCAAGAAGTTATATCGCACAATTGAATTTCCTCGCTAACCCTCTACCTTTACTCTTTGTGTAGCATTCGTACTTTTTAGCACTGGTGACATAAGCAAACTGGACGGGGTTGCAAAGACGGAGCGACCGGAAGTCGCTTAGGACGCAAGCAGCGGCTCGTGCTTGAGAACAGTTTGCACACAGATTCGAACGCGATTCACCGCGAGATTCGTGCTTCGGATGCCACATAACAATGAGTTCGAGAAGAAAACTTGACACGCTGCATTCGAACCACGGATATTGCTGTGACTGATGTTTGCAGACTGTATTTTGTATGATATACGAGTAGCGTGATCCCGGATGCTTAGGAATGCTGAACCGAACATTTCATTGTCCATAAGTGCTGCACAATCTTTCCACGAGCCAGCGGCCGCCGGAGTGCGAGCACAGGCAACGAAATTGACGACATCCTCCATTCACGCTGAGAATGATAGTGAAATCTGTGAGCTCTGGGGAAAAGAAGATTAAAGACATGCTATGCATCTCCACACAGGTGCAAAAAATAGGCGATTGATTATTCTAACAAGCATGTAGTTTCCACTTGTGGAGAAGAAAAGCATGTCTTTACCTTTCTTTAGCACGGCGCCCGCACATATCACTGTCATCTTAAGCGGGACTGGGGGACTCTGACGCCAGTTTCGTTGTGTGTGCTCGCGCACACCGGCGGCCGCTGGCTTGTGGAAATATCGTGCGCCACATATTACGGACACTAAAGTGTTTGGTTCAGTATCCCTTTAACGGGAGGTAAAAGTTTCTGGACCAAATTTTAAAGGAGGTGCAGAAAGGCCTCTAGACCTTTCCAAAAAAAGGCTCCTGGCCGGCTTCATTTTCAATGTCTATACGTATGGTGCATGATTTGCTCGCATTCAGAGGAGATGAACAAGCGCGTGCTTTGCTGTGGAGATTCCACGCTCGGCTGAGGACATGTATATATTGAAAAGGTGCATAGTAGGCGCAAACTGCAGCCCGTTAAAGCCCGATTCCCGTGGTGGCTTGTATACTTGCAATTCCGCAGTTGCGATGTCGCTTCTGTGGGAAAATAAATGCCCGAGGGAAGTTGCTGCGGCCGATCTCCCATCCTCAGATTCGCAAGCAAAATCGCACCATGTCAATCGGGCTTGAAAGGTAAAAAACCGCTACCATCCATTAATTCGTCGTCGCTTAGCCGCTGCTTTAGATACCGTATTTACTCGAGTAATATAGCAGCACTGCTTATGAAGTAAACCTCAGGGTTCGCTTTTCCGCGGAGCACGCGGATTGCCAATCACCGTGATTGGCAGCATGATTCCAGCGGTTCCCAGGACAGGGATAACCTCTTGGCGTGGTGATACTCTCTGTGGAGATTGCATTTGATTGAAGAATCGTGTTCTCGATCTGGTTATTCGCTGTTATTTATTCGAAACACGATGATTGGCTGTGTATGTGTTCTGCGGGAAAGTAGACGCAAGGGCCTCGTTCATAAATAGTGCGGCTATTACTCGAGTAAATACGGTATTCTTCCTGTGAACAGGTGACTTGGATTGCTCCTTTTCAAAGGCATCCAAACGTGTGGTATTACATTTAGGAATGCCACAAAGTTTCGTCGAATCTTGAGGACTGACTGCTTCGGCAAACCTCCGAAGTTTTGGCAAACTCGGTAAAGTTCAAGCAACCTCTCCGCAAAATTTCAGAATGTTGAGAACCACTACTTCTACAGGTGCTTTTAAGTTTCATAGAATAATCACTAATTATGCTCTCCCAATAGAGAAACGAACATGTTAACTTTTATTAAATTGATCAGGTCGCCAAAATGATGCACCCTCCTTTGCCAGGCGGATCCACTTCATTTTAAATTTTCGCGAGTACGCATACTAAATAAATTTTTGTCGTACTTTCCTCTAACTTGCAGCTGAAAGTTCGAAAAAAAAACTAGAACCAACCCGATTTCTGAAGGTACGCAACACCCTTATTGCAACGTTCATTGCCAATTTTTTCTCCTTTTCCAGAATAAGAGTTGGAACCGCCAATATCGTGGCCCTGAACAGCTACGACTCTATCAAAAAGGGCCTGTCCAACAGCGCCATACAGGGTCGCTCTCGCAGCGTGTTCCTTGACCAATCCAAGTCGCCAGGTGTGCCTTGTTCTACTTCTGACAGCGATAATAAATCATGCGAAAAGTGCCTTACTAAGAAAGCTTAATTGGATTTTCAGAGAATGTGGAAATAATCTGAGCGCATGCCTATGATAACGATCCTAACCGCATGATATTTGTAGATTAGAGATACTTCACCACAGTGTATTTCCTAAGCACCCCAAGTGTGCCGGGAAATATTGTGAAGAGGTAGAAAAGTTCCTACGCTAAGTGACGCAAGCTACCGGCCAATATACTGAGTAGAGCATCTAGCATTCGGCCATTCATTCATGCCTTTTGTACTTTTTATGCTTGCTCACGTAAAAAAAAAAATCTAAAATTTAAAAAAATTAGTTCATTAATTCAAACGCATTGGGTGTGTAATGACAGCGACTAATGCAACCTGCTCGTTTCGTATCCTTCAGGCGTTGCAACTCTCAACGGAAAAGTGTGGCTAGAGAACCGTCAAATGTGTTTGAAGCTGCTTCGAGAACTTGGAATGGGAAAAACGTGCCTCGACGAGAAGATTAGGGTAAGATTTGGAAGCAATGAACTTCGGTTGCTGTTTGAGCAGCTGCACAACTATGGCATCGTCGTCGACGCAACGAAATACGCCTTCGGAACATCCGAACTAGACTTCCTGAGGGATAGAGGGACCCCTCAAGGCATGTATCTGTTGCCTTCTGAAGTCCAGGTCATCAGGGACTTCCCGCAGCCAACTTCATTGCGCACGCTACTGGAATTTTCGGGTCTCGTTAATTTCCATCGACGTTTCATAAACAACTGCGCCCGAATTCGCAAACCACTTACACACTCCAGATAACCGGCACCGGTTATCTGGAACCGAAGGTCACTAGAGGCATTCACGAGGGCGAAACAAGCTCCCGTCAAAACAACACTCTTTGCATATCAATGACCTCAAGCACCCACAAGGCTCCTGGGAAGGGGACATTCCCCCACAAGTTCATGTTCCGTCCTCATTCCCCTTTTAAAGTGGGAAGAACAACACTGCGGTGACAATGCATGCGGTCAGGTATTTTGCCCCAAAAATAGAAATAGTAGGGTCTCTAAATTTTTAGCGGGGAGGGAGGGGGGGGGGGGGGGGGATCGAGAATGGAGGAATCGTTGCAAATCAAGGGGGTGCCTTCAGAAAAACAAGGGGGTGTGTATGGAAATCACTGGATTCAGTGTTTAGATAAAATAAACTCCTTTCTGAGTCTCCAACTTTTTGAACTTAGATCATCTGCTAAAAGGCGCCCAATTACTACTGCTCAAAGTTTTAAGATTAAGGAAAACGAAACTCATTTTGTTACTAGACGTCCGGCATTTTCGTGAAGTTTGTAATACATTGTGACATCAAATCATCAGAAGAAGGAAAAGCCCATCTTTTTTACGCGTTATTTAGCGGTTGTGCACACGAAAATCGCTATAGCACGGTCGCTGTAGCAATCTAATAACGAAACTTATGAGACGTCGTAATATGTATTACCAACTTCATACAAAGCTTACATTTGTGTGATCTCATTTACTTCGATATATCGGTATATGGCTCGCACCTTTCAATCATTACCCATAAGTGAACCATAATTTGCAGGGAATTCCCACTAAGCTCTAATTTTCCTTGTATGTAAGGGCATTTGAACAACGAAAACAACCCAAATGTATGTGCCAACACCAAGCACGATCATTCAGACGCTCACTGTTTGGGCGCAAAGCGCACTTGTTTGCTCAGACATTGATCCAAACACCATCACTGTTCAATCATCCGTATAACAGGCATTGGTTCTCCATGAAGCAGACTAACAAACATTAGAATACCTTATGTTTTTGCTATAAATTGACTGACATAAATAAGTAAGCTGTTAGTGACGTCGTCAGCGTAACATCACCACGCCACAACCTGGTAACGGGCACCAGCCGTTAAATTCGGCGAGCAATCTCTCTGCCAACAAATGTAGCTAGCTTCATCGGCTCGGAACATCTTCACCTTTGATAGCCATCGCAATAGCATCAGCGTCGCACCTGTGATCACTGGCGGGTACCGCCTCAGTCCCATTTGCTGTCTTAAACTATACACCAACTCAACTCTCCTACGTCACGCCGCGGTGGTGGCGCGCCGGACGCACTTCCGGTCTGGGGCGGTGGGCAGAAGTCGCCGTGCCAGACGTGCATTCCTGTGTTCTTTTGGAAGAAACGAGACAAAAAACCTGCCTTCTCGTCAAAATGCTGCGATGGGGCTTTACAAAGAGAGTCTGGGAAGGTTTGAAGATCAGTTTTCACGTGTTTTTGCACCCTCCGTTCGTCCGAGAACGTCGATAGCAGCCGTGAAAAGGGCAAACTTGACGCTGTCGAACTACGATTGCGTGTGCGGGCCACAATATGTAGTCGCCAGATTTATTTGCTTTGTTCCAACATGACCGAGAGAAAACCCCCAAGTTGTCCGGACCACCCACGGATTCAGTGCGTCTTCAAATTCACACGGCCGCCTGATCGTTCGAACTTTCGTCTGCTCTTTCAAAGTTGTCTGCTTTTTGTCGTCTGCTCGTTCAAACAAAAGCGGCCCGTAGACCAAACTTTGACCCGGTGATTGCAATAAGAAGTAATTGCAGGCCTCAAAAGACTTGAGTAGGCTCGGTGTAAGCAGTAGATACAAGATGTTGATCATTGGTACCGGTGGCCATCACCTACTTGTTACGCTTTGTCTGTTCCCGCTTCCGATTTTCAGTATCGACGTCGATCATCGCCGCTACCTTCTACACTTTTGCAGCACGAGGGTCGTCGCGACCGAAAATAGCTAGAAGAGTTTCATCATGGTTTTGTACGTCCATTCTGCGGCGGTCATGCAAATACATCACCGCACGTCAAATTATTTATGCAAAGTTTAGCAGCGTAACGAGCCTTGATGATTTCGCTCAGCCGATTAAAGTGGTAAGACATTGCGATGAGCACGTAGAATAGACAACTCCAACGCGAAAAAGAGTATGCAGACTCACACAGACGCCGACAACGTGACATTCGAATGGTTTATTGACGCGGGACGCGGTGCTTCTTGCCCGTACTCCATTGCGCGTGCGTTCCAACTGTCGTCTGCTCTTTGAACCTTGGCTGCTTTTTGTCGTCAGTTCGTTCAAACGACAGCGGCTCGTAAACCAAACATTGACCCGGTAATTGCTATAAGAACTAAGTGCAGGCCTCAAAACACTTTTGAAGGTTGGTTGGGGTAAGTCGGCTAAGTGTAAACAGATACAAGAAGTTGTTGATCATTGTTACCAGTGGCCATCACCGACTTGTAATGCCCGATTCTACTTGAGGTTTTCAGTATCGATGTCCACCATCTCAGCTACGGTCCACGCTTTTGCAGTCCGAGCGACGTCGCGACTGAAAATAGCGAGCAGAATCTCGACGTGGGAGTCAGGCTTTAGCGCCCATTCTGCGGCGTCCACGTGAAATGAATCGCCGCAAGTCACACTATTCACGCAAAGTTTTGCCTCGATAGTTTCGCTGAAGCCGCTCAAGTAGTCAGACATTGTTAGGAGGACGTAGATATCAACAATTCCAACGCGAAAAAGAGCACGGGGACTCCCACCGACGCCGACAACAACGCAATTCAATGGTTTGTTTATGGGCGACGGCGGGCTTCTTGCCCACCATCTACGGCGCATGCGCGGCGCCGGTGACGTCCGCTAGGGGCGCTCCGGTTTGTTTGTAAACATGAGTTGGTGTATAGCGTGTGACCGTAGCGACAGCCGATTGCGTTTTTGCGTTGGACGTCTCAGTGTAAGACCCGGTACATAAGTGACTGTAGCGAAATTTACCGAATAAAAAACGTATTCGACGTACTTATTACGAATTTATTGGGTATGACTAAAGTACTGCAACAAATATGCTATTCCATAGTCACTGAGAGCAAAAAAAAAAAAAAACGCATGCTGTAGATTGTCATGTTCACCTTTCTTGCTTCCTGATTCGTTTATCTGCGTTCTTATCGGCCAATGCCGCAGCCTCATTGGTTGCGGAGCCATAATAAGATACTCGTGGCACGCCACGCCCCACTGCAAAGTAAGTAACGTGTAATATCCGCTCATCATGAATGCAGGACGAGGTACGGTGTCTCCTGAGTCAAATTTCGGAACTGAAAGGAGAGCCTGTCTTTGTCAGCAAGTACACCACACCCAGCATATCGAACAACATCACGGGCCTCCTGTTCGGGAGAAGGTACGACTTCAACGACCCGCGGCGCGTCTACCTGGACGAGAACATGGACGGCGCCGGAAAGGCCCTTTCGTCCGGATCACTCGTCATGTTCCTCCCCACCTGGGTGTACACCATCGGGGCCCACCTGCCCTTCACAAGGATCTACGCCATAAGACGCTGCTTTGCGAACATCATCAACTTCACCAGGTGAGCCACCTCTTCAACGGACACGTGTTTCCGTGTTCACGACTCGGGAACAGTCCGTTGATAGTTGCTCTTGTACGACCCAACATATTCCTTACCTTCTCCATGAGTAAGTTACCTATGTTTTCGCTGCCTCCATTTAGGATAGTGCTGAATCGTGTCGTCCGCTACGATCGTCGCCATTTTGACTCCAGCGCTCTGCTCCTTCGCTTCCCTGTAAGCGTCGCGTACAGTAGCGAAGTTCGGCATTAAAGAACTGATTCTAACAATGAGTATACTTTGCTCCTGTCACAAGAAATGAAAGGCCTATGCATTCCTGGTTGCACTGGCCGCCGATCACAACGATTTAGATAAAGCCACCCTCTTGAATGTGTCAAGGTCCATCATTTTCAATGCCAGAAAACAACTTTCAGATTCTGACGAAGACGCGTCTGTGGCCAAGCTAACAAAAACAACAAAAAAACACTCTTAGAGGTCAGACGTCGTCAGGACAGGTGAGTTTGTCCAGCAAGTACACAAAATTGTGAACGACGACCCCAGAAAGTCAAGGAGGACTATTGCCAAGCGGCTTGAGGTGGCAATCTAGTATCAGGTTTGTGCTGCATGGGGACTTTAAATACCAGTCGTACGTGATGAGGAAAGGGCAGTTTATGTTTTAGAAAAACCAAAAATCTGTGTCATCCAGTCCAAGCTCCTGTTGTACAAGATCAGGTACCCTGAGGAACCGGACTTGCTTTGGTTTTCTTTTCACGAGAACTTTGACCAAGACCAAAAGGTGTTCGGGAGGACTGAATTCGCCATGAGGTTTCTACAGTCATGGTGGACAAAACTTCTGTCATTTCTAGTCATCGTAGCTGTTGTGAACAACGAGGGTCACGGCATGCCGCTGCCCGGCATGTAACACGGCCTTGGTCAACTCGAAGGCATACATCGAGACACTGGGCACTGTAGTCAAACAATGGATAGAAGGGGTGGCCTATGGAGGCTTTGCATTCTTCAACAAGACTGCTTCATGCCCCACGGGCCAAGCGACCCAGTATTGGCTGGCTGGCAACCTTTACAACCAGGTCATCCCCGAACAGATGGCCTCCCAACTCTCCAAATATAAACTACCCGGGACAACTGTCTGAGGCGGCGTCGAGAGAGCGACCAACAAGCGGCCTTAAAACTCCAAAGTCGTAAAAGGCTGCCAGTGTGGACACTACGGCCAACACCAACGAGGACCCCTTGATCAGGGCATGCAGCCGTTTTCGAAGCCGTATCGAGTCAGTCATTTTCGCTGAAGTTGGTTTTATCATATGAAGATCCCGAACACGAATTGGAAACAGTATCTCCCAATTTGTTTTACAAAAATATTCATATTTTCATAAGCATCTTTTTGATTCAAACCGCCGTTATGTTCTCAGATACCTCGTGCACCTTATGTTACCAATTTAGTGGTTTTTCTTTTGTATATTTGAGGCCTTCAAGATTAAGCGTTCATTTGTTACGACAACCTTCCTATGGCTTACACGAAAGTTCCAGGTGACAGGCGCTGAAACACCTGTTCAATTTTCTTCCTTTTTTCATTCCAGGGAACGCACCAAAGAATATCTACTGTCACTGGACGAAACTTACGACCAAAGTTTCATCAAAAGCTACCTAGAAAAGACGACTGATCACCAAAAGCGTCCGTCGCCTTACTTTAAGCGTATGTGCTCGTATTTTTCTTTTTCAATGCACCGATCTGACTAAGCGTTCTACGCATGCGTGGCTCCGCCACAACCATAGTTTATACACCGTTCCAAAGTCTGCAAAATCACAGTCCAGCGTGGGAACGCCAGAGCCCAGCACGCGCATGGTCATGGCTTTAGAAAACGAGCGAAACACGTGCGACATGCACGAACTCTGAAGAAGCCCGTTTTTAAAGTGGTCTATAGGATGCAGGAGCCAATAGGCCCATTGTTAAATTACCCAAGCATCAAGGAGAATGCAGGGATTGGTGTTCCACGCGCCACACTCGCACGCCTTCCCCGTATAAAAGATTCGAAGTAAATTACAAAATAAAGCGTTGACAAACCCGTGTGCAAGATGCAATTTGTTTTAGGCATTTGCTTTGGAAAAGTTACTACTGATGAGGCCAGCACGTGCGGCGCGGGGAACACCAATGTCTGCATTCTCCTTGATGATTAAGTAACTTAGCAATAGGTCTACTCACCAGGCAGCTCGTGCCCACCGGCTCGTGCCGTCCCGTGTTCTGATCACGCAGACCCTCAGCGAAGTTGTCGCGCGTGCAGGGTGACTATGATTCCCACGATGGCCGTCTTCCAAAATGTACTCGATCTTACACCAGGGTGTAACTAGGGTAAGGGTTTTGCACCTTGGCGTTTATAAACCTAGCCTTGTCCAGCGATATTCAATCTGAGTTGTCACGTGACATGACCCGCCGGAGTAACTCGGATCCGTTTGGGCAAGATTTGGAACACAGCCAACGTAGCTGGTGTGACGTCATTTTCGGCCGTGCCAGTGTTTTATATGCCGCGAGCGTTAAGTTCGCCGTGTTAGTTGCACACCGTAGAAGTTGTAGTTCGAAGAAACCAGTAAGTGGATATAACCGTCAGTACCCAACAATGGCGACACTTGCGAGTTATGTATTGACTATTGAGGACCTAAACACCGAGAGTGTTAGTGGCAAAACGCACACTTGTTCTCTGAACTTCTGCTGAAGAATACTAGCAAACAAAGAAACTTAAATGATGTCTAGGGATTAGTGTCCTTTTTTTTAATCGTTTACTCCTGAATTATATTTCTCTCGGTGTATCAAAAACAATAAAACCGTTATAAAGCTTGTAGGTACGACAGGAGCGGACGCTTTTTATCTTAAGAATACGTTCGTTAAAATATTTCGAAAGCAATAAACCACAAAAAGACTATCGAGAAGTTCCGTATAGTATAGTATCCCGAATCAAATTTATGCCTATATATGGGTGCGCCCTGGAGTTTTTCAAGAAGTACATCAACGGGTACCCTGGGTACATGCCTTTTCTTGGTCTCGTAAACCAATTTCGCTATTTCGGCCGTGACCCAGCAATGGAAGTTGAATATCCCAATTCTTATGAAATGTTTACTTTTTATATATTTTTTTAAATATTTACAACACGTCTCGGTGTTCTTTGTAGTTGTCACTTATAAGTGTGCACGTATTACGACATCCTCTGCCTAGTTGCTTTCCTCCTTTGGGATGCACTGCTAGTTGACTCTCAGGTAAAATAAATTACAAAAAGGGAAATGGAACTTGAAATTTAACTAATGTTGCTCCCATTTATGCAACATGAAAAAAAATGCCTGAACTTCTGAGTCATTGCAATATAAAAGCAGATGGAAAACGTACTAAAAAAGGAAGAAAGACGTTAATCTATCGATTCTAGCAAATTCAATTAAATAGCGAACACCAGAGTACAATCGCGAAACATTCAAATACTAACATATTGTGCCGAGTGGCAATTGATGAGGCGACGAAAACTGAATCAAACTAAACGTTTAATGGGACGAACTTGTGAACAAAACAAAAAGGAAACAGAAAAGAAGAGTAGAGCGTCGCGGGCATCGAAGTCGGTGTAACAGCAGGATCGAACGCTGGGGCGAGACTGACTGCGGATCGCCACGCAGAGCCCTTTATGTACACGCGTTGGCACTGTGGCAATCGGCGTAGAAGGTTCGGTGCGTAGAACTTTCGGACTTCGAACAAGCCCAACAGGGTTCTTGAATTTACCAGAACATTAAACTGAAAGAATAGATAAGAGACGCGTAACTCCCAGGAATCGAACACGGAAGTCAAGCGCGGTAACCACTCGGCCACGCACGCGCTCGCTCGCCGGCGGGCGTGGCAATATCATAGTTGACGAGAATCCTCGTATCTCTGGCCTTACTGCATATGCCCAACCTTCCCTAGCCCAGCGCCAGGCTGCACAGCATCTACAGAAAGGCACGCGCTCCGTTGTTTGTAATTCAATGTATCGCAATGGTACACACAACCTTGTTATTGACGAAGGAAACACTCAAAGTACAAATACCAAACTGCCACGCTTTAGCGCTAATACCATCTGATCATGGTGCCACGTCATGTTTTAACCCCGCCCAACATTTTTCTGAAAGCCTTGGCGCCACACTAGTTTACCTATCGCGTGTCGACGCAGCGGAGTACATTCCGGGCAACGTGCTGACTTTCTTCGGTGCCGGCACCAACACCATCAACCGCATGGTCCTCTGGCACCTCCTCAACTGCGCCGACAAGCCGGACTCGGTCCAGAAGCGGATCCAGGCCGAGATCGACGAAGTGATCGGCCAGGAGCGCCAGCCGATGTGGGAGGACCGCCATCGAATGCCCTTCACCGCGGCCTGCGTCTGGGAGATGCACCGCTGGAAGCCCGTTTCGCCCTTAGGAATACCCAGAGGGTGAGGGGCGTTCTTCTTATATCCATTCCATGCAGCGGCGTAGACGTTCCATTTTACCGGGGGGGGGGGGGGGGGGGGGGGGGGGGGACGGACAGGCTGAGAGATGTCCGGAGAGAGAGGGGGGGTGCTTTTCCGCGCAAGCGGAAAAGCACCCCCCCCCCCCCCCCCCCCTTCCCCCCCGGAAGCTCCCTGGGATTCCATTTTTCATGTATTTTGTCAATAAAGGCAACGTGGGCATTATTTTGTGTACATGCCACTACTAGAAACTCGTTACATTGCACGTAAACAGCGTTTCGGTAAGGATCATGGCCCAGGCCCCGGGGGGGGGGGGGGGGGGGGGGGAGGGGTGCTCCGCCCCCACACCCTCGATCTCCCCAGGGGGGGCACGAGCCCCGATGCCCCCCCGTAGTCCACGCCCATGATTCCATGGTTGTTATATTTCATCGGACACCCGTTCGCTGTTCTGTGTAACTGAAAGGAACGTTGTATGCGTGAGTTGAGAGAAACTCTGTAAGATAACTTTTTTTTGCATTTTTGTACATTGAGGGCACAACGTCACAGAGTCTAAAACATTGGAATATCGACTGGTCACCACAAAGGTAAATATGAACTGAAGATTTAAAAAGAAAAAAAGAATAATACCGGATGTTGAAATAATTTTTGTCCCATTCAAAAGTTCCTTGCGTTCTTTTAGGGATAAGAGCGCGCGGGGGCACCAGGGCGACGAGCTCAGGTTGATATGGTTAGTGAGTAGACGCAGAGCTAGTTGCCTTTGGGTCTACTCACTGTTCGAAAGCGAACGCCGGACACGGGCGTTCGGCGTTCGGTTCACGTCACGTTCACTGTCGATCATTGGAATTCCACACCAAAAGGGGAAAGCAAACCATATCGTATCGGTCATGCGCACATTTATCGACTACGATTCTCAAGGACTTAAAATAAAATGAACTAGATATAGCCATAGCCTATGAATCGAGCAACCTTATTACGGAGCGTTTGGAGCATCGGCCACCAGTATTCGCCCCTTTTTTTGTTTCGCAAAACAAACTCAGCGGCGCCATCTATTGGGTAGCCGACGCACACGTCAGTATATTTCTTAATTTTTTTCTCGCAATTTTTTATCGTAAGAGCGAATGAAGTGTGACAGTGCTATAAGTGGCTAATTCCAGAAGATAGCGCGCATATTTGATATCGAAAATACAGCGAAACCAGCCGTCGATAGTTCAGAACCGCAGGTGGTTGGAGGCTATTTGCACACTAGCGCCACCACGTTTCAACTCACGCGAGAAAGAGCGAATATGAGAATCGTTTGGTCCCAATGCCTGCACATTATGCATTGGCTAAAATGAACCCCGATATCTCAGGGCCGAGGAGGACACAGAGATCGAAGGCTACTTCATTCCCAAGGGCACCGTTGTGATAGGCAACATCTGGGCCGTCCACATGGACCCGAACCTGTGGAAGAATCCCGAAGAGTTCGACCCGACGAGATTCCTCGACGAGACGGGCACCAAGATTTTACCCAAGCCCGACTACCTCATCGCTTTTTCCGTTGGTAAGTTGACGTGTCTTGCGGGCAATTTCTTTTTTCTTCATTACCCTGTCTTGTTCGTCGTCTTCTACATTTATGCGTTCCTGGGCGAGGAGTTTTGGAATAATAAACACGACTTCCAGGATTCGCGTCCGCGCAAATTCTGGAAACTAACTTTGCGTTCAGCGCGGGTACTGGCCCAATACCACCTAGTGTAGACATGGCCTGCGCTTTTAGGTTATCGCTGGTGAAACGCTCACCCAACCCGAGCGGCAAAAACGCTGAAGCTCAATGCTGCCCTACAATGTTCTTTTTAAAACTCCGCATTAAGGTTGCTCGATCCATAGAGTGAGCTACATCTAGCTCACTCTAATTGAAGTCCTTGAGCACCGTAATTGAAGTCTAATTGAAGTCCTTGGGCATATCATAGTTGGAGGCTGAAGCTTAACGACATTATGTGCTAAAGCGGATGCCCGCATTTTGCCGTCGCCACCTGCTATCATCGCGTTCGTTGTGAGATGCCACAAGAGGAGCTGCTTGCGACACGGACGCCAGCTAGGTGGCGCTGTGGGGATCCCCCAGTGGTGACGTTAGAGAAAAAGCCTAGGCTTTGTCTTTTTGGTGGTATTGACTGGACGCGAGTTTAGCGTTTGCTTTCTGGGCCTTGATGACTCGAAATGTTCTGGACGTAGTTGACCTGGTGTATGTCCCAATATAACTTCCCTTTTTTTGTATTTTATCTATCCGCAGAGGGGGCAGAGATAATGGCATGATGCCTGACAGCGCCTCTGCCCCCTGCAGTTCATACAGTGGAAAAAACATTGCAAACAAGTCCCAGTGAGAGTAAATAACAAGACAGCCATTGTCATAAAAACAAATAGAAACAGTTATTATAGAAATATTTGGAAAACACATGAAATACAATGGCGCAACTCAAACAACTATACACAAGCGGCACAGCTTGAACAATGTGGGGCGATATGCTTTTCATAAAGCAGAAGTAAAATAAAATTAAAATAAAGATAAAAATAGAAACCAATTTTTACATATCTACTAAACGTAATACACAAGGATTTATAAAACAAAGGGGAAACAAGCTAAACCAACACCAAACTTGAGGCTACAAAACTGAAAATGAAGATACAAAAGATTTCTATACGTTACGTTTTATTGAAAATAAATATAAATTAAGATACATGCCTTAAATAGATGAAAACTCGTCTGAAGATTTCTTTTTTTGTGACCGGTTGAAAAGGATCATTGAAATTAACACCAATGCCGGGGGAATTTATAATTTAGTAGACATGTCCGATAAACTGTGCCTGTCATGGTTTGTTCGTAAGCTTGGGATTCTATGTTTCGGGTCTCGTAATGTGTAGGCACAAGAATGAGGTGTCTGTGTAAGATTGTTTATGTAGATCCACTGAGATAATTAAAATTGATTTATCTGGTTTGTTTTTGATATATTATTGACTCGTCCGAAAACACCTGTGGTTTAGATGTAACCATCTTGAACGCGGATACTGTTCGCCGCAAGATTCGTCCGCAGCAGATGTTTGCTAGTAGCTCAGGTACCAGAGAGCATTACCAAGCCATCCATAGGAATCAACCGATGAAAAAAAGCACGTGGTCCACACTATAGACCCTTCCCGAAATTCAGTGCCATCTGGTGGCTGAAATGGCGGTTTAAGTTTTGCCATACGAATGGCGGCGATGAACCCGTAGTACCCGTAGCCTGCAGTATTTTATCGGGCATTGTCACTTTTGCATGTCAACGGCAGACGAGAATAAACTTTTCGCTATACAGGTTTTTCTGGATCATTTCTTCCAGTGTCGATTTCCAGAAAGATGCAACCAGTCAGAACGAAGCGCCAACCCAGACAGACACCTTGATAAAGTTCTAAGAGCCAAGGGGTTTCGAAGTCGATTTTGTGCCACTAACAGGTTCACTGGGCTCGAATTAGAGAAATGAACACTTACGCAGCGCTTGCATTCAGTTCCGGTTTCGCAACGTGCTAACGTCTAGAATGTATAGGCCTCAAATCCTCAGCTTAGGAGTATCTTCAACATGGTCTTTCATCAGTAAATAGAAAGCCGCCATTGGTATGGCACATATGCCATTTTTCAGATGATGATGATAGTGACCGAAGTGGCCAGACTGAATTTCGGAAAGGGTCTATTGAACAAGACGCTCGTGGCCAGAGCATACTCGCAACTATATGGAGACCTTTCCAACGTTTTCATGCACTTTCTTTATAAAAATGGAGCCTTCCGTGTGAATGTTTTCAATACACACCAAAATTGAACATCGCCTGAAAAATAAGTTGACGTGTGATTTCGTTCGCGTTAAGACAACCTCCCTTGTTATCCGCGGATATAAGCCTGGCTGTTTCGCTGTGCCTCGTTTACCATAAATTGGCTAGAATGTAACTGATTTTAAGCAGCATGAGGGTTTCATTTGAACTTGATAAAACTCGGTAACTTGTGGGGAGGTGGGGGGGGGGGGGGGGGGGGGGGGGGGCTGAAATGTCTTTTAAAAAATATATGCCAAAGCTCAGTTCCTGAAATTAGAAAAACTTCCTCTTCAAAAATTACAACCCAAGAGATTAATCGAGAAAACAAACTTAAGTGCCTCGACGTAACATAAGTCAAAAACCAATTTGATCTTTCTGTTCTCAACTTCTTTTTGTTTTCGAACCCTAAAATTCATCCAAACTGCAAGAACTTTTTCTTTTTTTTATCTAGCTGGTTCTTTTTCATAATGAAACAACCACTTGTTCCTTTGTGTATACATAGACTCTATGATGCTATATTGTGCGTGTTGCTAATGTTTTTAAAAATAGTGTTTTGCTCGAAAGCCCCGATAAGTTGGGTCGGCTTCATGTGAGATCATTCAAGTATATAAGATTCGCAGACATTTCTTTAACGAACTTTTTTTTTTTTTGCTTTAAGAACTGAGTCATCTGTCTTAACTATGGTTAGTGTTTCACCTAACGTCTAAAAAATAGACAAATTAAGAAGCGGCTCTATCTTTAATGTGCCGTGTGTTTATCTTGTTTAATGATGAGTGTGCATGTAGAAACTGAAAACGAGCAGAAGACGAGAGCGCGCGGAGATACCAGTGCGCCGAGGTCTTGCTGGAATCATTAGCGGGTTAGCGTAAAACTAGGTTCTTTGTCTATACTCACAGTTCGAACGTATTCCCACGTGAAGCGCCAGCCTCCGCCTTCGAGCACTAAGCGTCTGCACACTAATTTCTTTTTTATACAATAAAAGAGTAGGATGATGAAATGTTACGCTAGGTGGCGCAAGATGCCGCCCGTTAAAAAGGGTATAGCTATTACCATCCATCCATCCAATCATTCAATGATGTTCCGAAATTCCCGAACGCTCTCATTTCCTCCTGTCCCCCACTATCTACCTGAGTAATAAAGCTCTCGTTTCAGGCAAGAGAATGTGCCCTTCGGAAGCACTGTCATCGTCGCAAATCTTCGTCTACGTGACCAGCATCCTTCAGAAGTTCAGCGTGCACCCCGAAGACGACACTACCCAAATCAACCTGATCACTGATTGCGTCACGTTCAACACACCGAAGCCCCAGAAGTTACGCTTCATCCGTCGATGACTTGCGAAGGACAACGGAGGCGCCGTCAGCTCCTTTCATCCGTGCGTGTCTGCTTCTTGCCGAAAAAAACTTCGCATCGTGTGTTTGAAATTACTTAAGAGCGTGCACAGGGTTTCTCCGTCGACATACTTCGGACGCAAACCCGCGTATTCGACTCGGAAATGACGGCGCGGGGGGCGGCAAAATTGTTTCTACGGGACTCCGAGCCACGGGTATTCACTTCTTGCGCACCCGCCTTCGTCACGCGGCACGAGTCCGTGCACGTATCTCCAATTGCCGCACAAGCAGAGACATGGCTGCGGCCAGATGACCTGCTTGCAATTGTCTATAGCGCACTTAGTAGAACCTGGTAGAACCTTGGTGGAAAAATAAAAAAGTGAACGAGGCATGTTTCGACTCATTTGCAGTCATTTCTTCGTGCGCCCCTTTTATGTTATCACACCCTAATTTATGGGTGTCGGCCATCGCGCCTTTTTTTATATCCCTTTCTGGCGGCCGTATACCGAATTCGGAGGGCGTACTGTGCAGTCACAACACCCTAATGAAAAGGTGTACAGCGGAATCACACCCTAATTTAAAAGGGCACTCAAGTGGTTTTCTAGTTCGTGTTTTGATAATGACAACTGAATCTAGACGCCCTAAGTATCCCTAAAAACCAAAAAATATAATCATACGGTGATTATTTTTTTTATTCAAAATATAATTGAAGGCCGCCAAACCTCGGATCCACCCAAAAACGAAATCACACTCTAAGAAAAATGGGAGGAGAAAGGTAGCAAAAGCGACTGTTCCTCCTTGTTGCGGACAAGTTGCCCAGAGAAGGGAGGAACGACAGTTCAGATGAAAGGAGGAGGGCGAGTTCCTCCTTGTTCAGTTGGCGCAGGGGTAGAACATCGCGCTACTGACGAAGTGGTCAACGGTTTTTTTTTTTTTTTTGTAATGTTTTTTTTTTTTTTTTTTTTTATTACCAAAACACACATAAACAAACCCAGACCGATGAAAGGAAAATTAAAGTCCTTATTATTCTCCGAGACGTTTTCCTCCTCCAGGCAGACCGGAGAAAGCTTTCGCCCTCCCGACCCATCTTCTTTCGGTTTCGTTTTTCGAGCACATCGCGCACGTTGTTTAATAAATTAATGTTGAGTTGATTGAGCTTCAGCGGCAGCGAAGGCCGCCTGTAATTCTGTCTTCTAGTCCAAACGTGCAGAACATTTCGTTTGCATTGACGTTTTTACCACTAATTTTATCAAACGAGCTAACGAAGCCGCATAGAAACAGCGAAGTTCCGGAGCAGTGCCAGCAGCGCTACATACACTGGGTAAGACGGCCGTCTCCGATTTGCGGGACACACGCGGAACTACAGCAACGAAACGGCGAAACCACGAGGAACTGTGTCGACGTTTTCGACGTTATGGAAATCGCGGGACTGCGTCCAAGGAAGGCAGGTTTTCCTGCCGGCTGCCTGGGTGCCTTCCGTGCTGAGTTCGGTTCCGTTGTCCCGTGCCGAGTGCCAACCGGCGTTCAACGTGATTCTTCTGCGTGTCAGCAACATCGTCAACGTGGTTCTGTATTTCTTCGTGTCAGCGACATCGTGATGGCAGTGTTGTGGGTTGTGAACAGAAGACTGGAATTATCGCCGATGTGACCGTGTGTTCGCGTATCAGTGCTGTAACAACAAGATGAGATGACGTAAACTGTCGGGCATTGATGCCGCTGGTCGGGCCGTTATCGGAGGGGCCGGGGTGTCGCAGGATGACATTCCGCTTTACATTAAAGAGTTTAAAACCACTTGAGGGATTAGGTGCAGTCGATCGACGTGTGGATAGTCATGTTGGAACGCTGGTCTGAACGATAAGCTCCTATCGTACAGTGGCCAATGTGACTGTCGGTCCCCGAGAGCGATTGCGCTCTGGGGAAAAGACAACACGACGAAAGTATGACGGAAAGTACGTATATTTATAATGGAAGTTTAGCATAAAAAAAAAAAAAAGACAGGCAAAATCGAAAAAAAAAACGCTATCCTTTATTTTACTGTTTAAATATATTACGGTTCCTGTAGAAACTGCCCTCTAAGTGGCGCGCTGGCATGAGCGCTAGAAGTTTTCGAGCTCGCAACGGCGCAGCTCCGTACACTTAACAGTTGTCGCAAGTCGCGGCTTTGACTGCATTCAAGTTGATCGAAAAGCGATTTCTGTGCCCGTGAAGCATCACTTCCAGCTGAGTGGATATCCGCTCTACAGAGATTAATTCAAGACGGCAATTGCAGCTTTGCGCGAACAGCACAAATAGAAAAACGAACACTACAATATAAATACTGGCTACGAAGGGCCATGCGGGAAAACAAACTCATGGCTTGGAACCACATTGGAGCGGCTCGATTTATTGGCTTTCAAATAATTATGGCATGATCGAGCGTCTTCTTTCTAATAAGAGATTCACCCCTGAGCCATTAAAAATAGCCTCAGATGTATGACATTGCTGGAAAAAAATAAACATGTTCGGAATATTTTTTTTTGCTTAGGGAGTCACCGAAAAATTCCGTACGTTCAAAACGACCACTATAAAAGACGGAAACGCAGGGCTCGGTAGTAGTGATCGGGGTTGTGTGCTGTTGTATTGATGTTTGTATGTGCGATGCCTGTGCATGCGTTCAATATATGTTGACCTGATGTTTGTAGTGTGCGCAACGTGTCTACATGTGTTAGAGATTCCGAAGAAAAGGAAACGTAATTGTGGCGTAAGGAAATAAAAATATTTTTTTGTAAAACATGAATTGGGCGGTACCTAGCGCCACCTAGCCTAGCTACGTGCGATTACTCTGCTTGACCCTGCCATCTGGTGGCAAGCGATTTAACATCCTTTTACGCTACGCGGCTACGCCATAATTTCGTGTTACCGTGTTGAGATAAGCCAAGAGGTTGCTTCGGATTTGCTTATTTTTGAGAGCGGCTTTTGGTTTTGCGGGCGAATGATTTTCACTCCTCCGTGATGTGCGGTTGACGCAACGGTTGACGAAGGAATTGTGGCTCGAGGAATAGCAAAGGTAGGACATAAAGTGCGCGAACTGAGTGCCGGTTGTCTCCGTTGAACATCGCAGTGCTGACGATGAGAAGACTGAGTGACTGCATGCTTTCGAAACGTAAGTTTCTTTACCTGCAGGGGTAAAGAAACTTCGGAAATAAATACAGTTCGCGGAAAGCTCGTGTTACGTTTTTATTTCCTGCTCCTCTCGCTTCGTGCAATAGACTTAGTGTTCTCGTTAAGCCTTACCGAGCTCGATTTGCTCGATTCGTGGCCGCCATAATGAGATGCAGTCGACGGAGGAACTTTTCCTCCCCTGCTTAAGGGACGAAAGTTTCTCCCTTTCTGGAGGAACATATGTGTCAAGAGCGTTCCTCCCTTTAGGGAGGACTATACTGACCCTTTTTTCTAAGAGTGCACTCTCATTGGTCACCGCTCACATATCAAAACAATCTCGGGCCAATGGTGTTGGACGACGTTCCGTCGCACAGTGATTCTGAGGTAGCCGCACCAGCCGAACTTCTTTGTCATTCGAGCTTCGATCATGGCGGAGTTCTCTACGCTCGAGGACCTGACGCCGTTAGAGGTTGAAATTCTTCGGCGGGCGGCCGACCTGAGGATGATTACCTATGACGCCACTCCGACGTACGTGCGATGTGGACGATAGCAGCGCTTCGAAGTCGTGTTCTGGTTCCGAGGACGACGAAACGCAGACCATTTTGGCCGTTCTTCGCTTTGCGGTTGGGGCAAGTCGTAACCAAACCCACGTTTGGCATCGCAGCGTAACCTCTGGTACGGGAAGTCAAACGATGTCGCCACGTTGACTTTCGTCTCGGGAGGACGGCAGGCTGGTTCAGACATGTGTAACGAGCGCGTTACCTACGACTGCGTCCGTTGCAACCGGAGCGACCGGAACGACCGCTCTGCGCCACACGTAGACACACCTGCAACCACTGCAACAAACGCAGCGGGTCGGCAGCACGGCGACCGCGTCTACGCCGCCGTCAGCTCTTTCAGCGGCGCCTCTGAAAAGGGGACGCACTGCCACTCAGTGCCGTAGCAGAATATAGACAGACAGTTTTCTATGGCCCGATAGGTTTGCAGGGTACAGTGGATGAAAAACAAAGAAAAGAAAAAGATGCAGTACGCCGTTTCGGACGATCACGACCCTAATACACGACTTTGCCAATAGTACAAATATCGCCACACGCCTTTTCTACGATTATAAAAGACGATGTAATCTTAGCGGCGATATAGCAACGTAGAGATATGGTTTCATGATCAGATAGACGTTGCGAGCGTTCAGGATTGCTAACACTAATCACTTTTCTCCGATCATGAAAACGCGTGAAAATTCGCATCCTTTATACGGTACGCGCCAGTAATACCTTGAACATGAGCACACCCATGAAATGCTCCAAATAAGAAATCCGGGCGATGTTCGAGGAAACAAATGCTTAGAAAGCACCACTGTACTCGAAGTAAACAAACACGACGGCACGGGCGGCCGCCACGACATCGCCGCACGAGTTGGTGGATCTTCCCTTCTATTACGTGGTGGGTTATCGTAGCGACACACGACGAAAATTCACAGTCAAGGATAGCGCTTTTAAGCGGAACGATGAGCTTTCATCACGCCGTCCACGTCGACGATCACCACCGACGCCATGTTTGCAGATAGAAGGAGCCGGCCCGCGACCGGCACGACCGGCATGTAACGCGCGCAACCAGTTCTCCTCGATCTGTGATTGGTCTGTCGCTGCGGTTGTTTCGGTTGTTTCCAACGCAGCGGGAAAAGTTGGGCTCGCTCCAACTCCTTGCGTCGTGAACGACACATGCGTGCGTCCCTCCGTCGCTATGGCAACCGACGGTTGCAGACCCTTGCAACGGTCGTTTGTGTTCCAGTCGTTGGGGAAACACGCGCGCTTTTGCCTGAGTGGTGGCATCTCAGCCATTCTCCAGCACAGTCGTTTTTTTTTTTTTTTTTTTTTTTTTTTTTTTGCATTTTGAAGTTTGCGCAATTTGGTGTCACACAGTTCGAGCGCGTAGCTTTGGCTAATTCATAAACGCCATTTTACCGTCCAAGTCACGCACGGAGTGCGCGAGAGCGTCATGCGCTGGCACATTCGGGGCAACAAT